GAAGACTTATTATTATGCAGACTACTGCAATACTGTAATAATTATATAAATAACATCAACCCATTCATGACTGCATATTAGAATGGCTAGTTGGACATTTATTGGACAATGACATCATTTGTTTACTTTTGAACACTGGCAAAAATCAAACATTTCCCCTACTTTGAGCTCCATTTCCAGGTTCTTTTTATAGTAAAATCAATCAAAATCACCTCTATTTCTATAATATGTTTTCCATTCTATCACATGAGACCAAGAAAACGAGAATACAACCATAAATACTATACGAAAATAGACCACAAAGTCGGCATTTTAATTAAAAAAAATGGTCGGAGTTTTTTTTTTCTCATTATGCACTGCCTGCTCCAGGATTTTTTTTATATGGTGCACACTGACCACACAGACCCATTCTCTCACATGTGGGCCTACCAGCTTTCTCCTGCTTGATTTGAAGCCGCTAGAATTTATGAGTATATATACATCAAACACGGTACCTCGTAAGACGTATATATATGGCCGCGACAGTCAAAGGGTTAAATGGTCCAAACGTATATATACGTTTTTTCAACATTTGAAAGTATGCAAAAAAAATGTAGATCTTTTTTTTTTTGTTTTACATGTGAAAATGTGTAAAAAAAACTTTTATCTACATTTTTTTTTGTTATATTTGAAAATATGTAAAAAAAAGTAGATCTACTTTTGTAGCACTACGAATTTGAACATCGATCTGTTTGGACCGTTTAAGGGTTAAAAGCTCGTGTGTGTGTGACTTCTCGTCTGAGCTGCCTCCTGGTGTTATCACTGCAACAACATTATTTGCTATATTCCTCCATTTTAGGTGCCTCATGTTGAAATCCACCAGGAGCAAGATGTTGGGGGCAGGAGCTGGAACATTTTCCAAACAGTGGTCAATTTTCAACAGCTGTGCCACTGTGTGGCAAAACGTTTCTTCAATAAAGATTTCCATATGTTGCATACATGTCTCAGTTCTTCAACTTGTCAGTTTTCAAAACCATTCATCTCAAGTGTAGACTGTTGTTCAAGCAGAATATACCAAGCAAGAGGAAACATTTTGGTATAAAGTTGTTTGTACTTTGTAAGTGCTACACTGGTTGTATTGGTTATTATTGTGTACCCTGGAAGCAATACATTGCAAGATACCAGTTAGTTATTGGGTATCTCTGGTGATGTGGTTAGAACAATGATGGAACCATATCTTGGTAAGGGGCATATATTATGCATACTGATAACTGGTACACAAGCCCCTTACTCAGTGATTTCTTGCGAGCGAACATGACAGATGTGTGTGGCACAGTGCGTGCAAATTGTAAGCATATGCCTAGGTTCAATGAAGGCACTCATAGAGGTGATGTGCAGGTGTTTGCTGCCAATGACATCATGGCAGTTCGGTGGCATGACAAATGAGATGTCGCACTGCTGACATCAATTCACCAAAACGAAATGACAGGCAGTGACAGGGTGGCCCGGTGGCCTGGTGGCTAAAGCTCCCGCTTCACACACACGGAGGGCCTGGGTTCGATTCCCGGCAGGTGGAAACATTTCAACATATTTCCTTACACCTGTTGTCCTGTTCACCTAGCAGCAAATAGGTACCTGGGTGTTAGTCGACTGGTGTGGGTCACATCCTGGGGGACAAGATTAAGGACCCCAATGGAAATAAGTTAGACAGTCCTCGATGACGCACTGACTTTCTTGGGTTATCCTGGGGGCTAACCCTCCGGGGTTAAAAATCCAAATGAAATCTTATATTATCTTATCTTAATAGAGAGACCAATGAACGCATTCTAAAACCCGCAGCTGTGATGGACTACACCCTCAATATGCATTCAGTGGACAAATGTGACATGCAAATTGGGTTTACTTATTGTTTTTGCAAGAGTTATAAGTGGTACATAAAACTCTTTTTTTCATCTTCTGGACATTTCCATGCTCAATGCCTATAATATTTGTAAGTTAAAGACCAGAAATAAACCACTATATGGTGAATTTTGTTTGTTTGTTATCAGACAAATATTATTCAAGTACCAAGTAACAATACTTGCACTAGAACACTGCCTGTGAACTGAGCAACAACTACCCTTTCATCTGAGGCTTGGTGATCACAACTTTATACAATTGCCTCCTACTACTTTGAAGAAAACTGTTCAGAAGAGGTGTTTTGTTTGCGCACATACAATATAATGCCCACAAAAATGCAGACACACTTGTTTTATGTGTAAGGAATGTAAAACACCACTGTGCATGACACCATGTTTCAAGGAATTCCACATGCTGCAGAACTTCAAGGAACATGTCCAGTGACTGTGTGTGTGTACGTATATGCAGCATAAAAAATAGTAATAAACAACATTTTCTATTGTTCATTTGTGTAAACATGTTTTGTAAACAATATGACAACAATGTTTGTGCAGTTATTATGTAGCATACGACAAGTGAATTTTTACACATTATGCCTCATATTGGTCTTACAGGCCATAAAAGTTACTTGAAAAATATAAAATGTTAAAAAATAAAAGAAAAAAGTAAAAAACAATAAATAAAAGATTACCGCGTGACTGGCAGTCGGCGATGTTGCCGTAAGAGTTCACTTTCTGTCAGCTTCACACCTCTATATCTTGGTAAGTATTGATCACAATTTTTTTTTTTTTACTAAAACACAAACAAAATTAATCTTAAGATTTTGGTAAGAAAAATAATTTTCTTTTTTTCGAATATTTTTCGACTACAGGATCAAGGCTCTCGACCCTCAAAAAGTTAAGTATAATCTATATTGTTTTTCACAATTATGTTTCTTATCAATGGATCTGAGGATGCCATCTGACAGCCATGGGCTACCTAGTCTCTTTCTGTGATCTGTTTAGTTTTTATTAGTGCCTATTGTAAAGGCTTTGTATATTCAGCAGAAAAATACTGATCCATTCACTAACAGTCATCATCAGTAAACTGTGTGTGCCAGATCATATAACTTACTGCTATAGTTAAGTTATTTAATGATGTCTCATCATGGAGATAAAATGAGATCCTACTAGTTTCTAGCAGTAGCTAACATATGTTGGCAAGTATTTAAGTTTATTCAGGTACAAGTACACATAAATACAGTTATATAAATTATCATACATAGCAGAATATGTGTAGATTACCTAGGATAACCCCCAAAAATTCAAAGTGACTTATTTCCATTAGGGTCCTTAAATTTCATTAATAATGAGGAAGGTGTGGTAGAGATCGGAAGTATTGTCTATGATAATCTTACTGAGAGTAGCTAATATATTGGTGCAGATATAACCTGGGCTAAACCTCCATAATGAATGTGTTTACCTCGGCCGCAGACATATACCTGGAATATTAAGAATGTTTTATGTAGTCAAATGTTAAAATTACATTAAGTGTTATGTAGCTTGATCACTAGCGCACTCAACTCACACAATGAGGTTCAGGGGTCAATCTCTGGTACGGCTGGAAAACATTAGGATGTGTTGCCATAAGACACCGGTTGTCCCTGTTCATCCATCAGTAAAATGGGTACCTGGGTGTTAGTGGACTGGTGTGGGTCGCATCCTGGGACAAAATTTACCTAATTTGCCCGAAATGCTCAGTATAACAAGTGTCTTTCTATATACATGTAGTAGTATGTCATTCATATCAGCTAGACTTGTACATGTACTTGTATAAATAAAGATATTATTATTATTATTATTATTACTATTATTATTATTATTATTATTATTAAGAAGGGTGCTGGAGGCAGCAGGACCACGATGGTATTAAGTAACTTTGACATTTTTGATGGGTTATATTGGTTTGTAATTTACACTTACGTTGCTAGGTATTTATTTATTTATTTATTAACAATTTGAGCACACATACAGAGGTACAAAAAAATACAGATAAGAGCAGCATGCCAAAGCCACTTATACTATGCATAGCATTACGGGCTGGCTTAAAATTAACTTAAGATTAACTAAGCAATGATGAAATCAGTGATAAAACATTAATGTAAACAGATTACTATAAAGCACAAGTGAGTATTACAAAGACAGGTCATTTGGTTGCATGCATTGTTGTACATTCAGTAGAATGGAGTATTCTGTTAGGTAGTGTATTTAAAAAATAATAAAGTTAGATTGGGTCCTAGGTTTAACATTTATGTGATATAATTGTGAGAAACATTTAAGATATACAATTTATAAGGTTCAGTTATTCTGTATTTATTTGGTTTTGAGTGAGTAAGTGAACTTTGAGAAGAGACTTGAATTTATAAACAGGTAGTGTTTCTTTTATATTTACAGATTTTAGGGCCTTTTATGTGCATTGAGTTTTTGCATAGTGTGAGATGGACACGAGGAACATCAAAGAGTGATCTGTGCCTTGTGTTATGGTCATGTGTTCTGTTGAGGTTGGCAAGGAGATGTTTGAGGGGAGGGTTAATATCAGAGTTAAGTGTTCTATGTATGTAATAGGTGCAGTAATAAGTATGGATGTTTTGTATGGTGAGTAGGTTTAGTGTATTGAATATTGGTGGAGTGTGCTGCCTGTAGTGAGAATTTGTTATCATTCTAACTGCAGCCTTTTGTTGGGTAATTAGTGGTCTGAGATGGTTAATTGTTGTTGAGCCCCATGCACAAATTCCATAGGTGAGATACCTGGAGAGAGTTCCGGGGGTCAACGCCCCCGCGGCCCGGTCTGAGACCAGGCCTCCTGGTGGATCACAGCCTAGTATAAGTGTATAAGTGTATAAGTGTACTTACGTGATGCTGTACTTAAACTTACTTATTTACTTATGTAGCTTGCAGCGCCACACTACCAGCCAGCTTAAATTTATAATTATACTCAAAAGAAGCGCTAAACCGCAAGGGTTTTACAGCACAACCAACCTAAAAATCTTGGCATAAACGTTATATTTCTCCAGCTTTTATTAGCCAGTTACCAACTACACAAATACCACTTCAACTACTAACAACCTTACCTTCCCTACCTACCAGATGATGCAAGATAAACAGCTAGAAGAGTTAATATTAAGGTAATTGTAGCAGCAACAACAACAACTGTGTTGACATCTTGTTGTTGTTGGGATGGTTAAGGGCACCAAAGTTGACGCTGTGTTGAACCCTACCATCAGGGACTCTGGGAAAATATATATCTTAAAAGAATATATATATGCTGTCCATATATAGGCGAGAAACAGAAAGAAAAATAAAATAAGATGGAACATTAAATTTATATCTTAAATCAGGTAGACACCAGGCCTAAACACCGGTAAAGGCAGCGATGTGCTCCCAGAGTGAAATTCAGTGATGCCCAATTAGTGATCAAAGAAACTAATTTCCGCAGACGCAAGTGCCTCGAATCAGCAATGATCGCTGTTTCGAATACAATTAAACAAAACGGCAGCTTCACCATCTCTGAAGTCTTAGCAAGAATCCTCCTGAAAACAGTAAACCCTGCCATCACATAGTCTCTCCTGTTATACTACACAAAGCACATTACAGAGAGTGAACACTGAAACAGGCTGCCTCTATCCAGTCTATATTTGTCCAACCTATTTTTATGTTACCCAAGTAATGCTTTTATATCCTTTTACTCATGTACGAATTAATTGCTCTACCATATTGTATTACAACTACTACTACAACTTTTGTCACTACTACTACTACTACCACTAGTGAACATCGAAATGGTACCTCACTAGTATTGCACCTCACTCTGAGCCTTTATATACCCTATGTGTCCATGTATTGTTTGTAATGGCTTGATAAAGCTCCTGGAGAGCGAAACGTTGCCACAATAAAATGTCACATTAGTTGCACTTGTGTCCTTTTACTTTACATATTGTCGGTAACTCTACCAACATTATTACAGAAGAATACTTGTACTGGATTGAGCCTTTATGAGTAAGACACCGTGACTGTATTTACTACTTCTGTGGAAAATACTGTATATATTTTCCGGAAATATGGTAATTTATAGGTAAATAGATGCCCTATATTGTATTTTTAAAAGAAGTATGTTATCGAAAAAAAGTAGAGAGACTCGCCATCTTGGTTTTTTAATTTGTATTAGAAACAATGGTGAATGGGGAAGATTTTTTCGTGTTCTAGAGGTTAAAATTGTGCTGACACCTCTCAAATAGGAGGCAAAATTGGTGGATATGCATTCCTGCATAACTTGAGATATCAGACGACTGGACAAGACAGCTCCAGGAACCTCAGATAAGCTCTCTAGATTTGTGTGTAATTCTGGCCAGCATTATTTTCATAGATTTAGTTAGAGTGAGGTTTTCTGAGTATGATACACATTAATCTCCAGTCAAATTGGTGAGTGATATTAAGATATATTTTCCTTCTGTTATGTAATTGTGTATATATATAACCATTTATTATTTTTAATATACAGTCCACAAATTTATATATTTACCAGTATTCCTGGTGTATGTATATTTCATTTAATTAATAGGTCCAGAGCAACTTGTGGTTATGACAGTGGTAGGTATCGAAGGGGGACATTTTTTGCGACCTAGGTGTCCCAAATTCCTACTTGTCTATGTAACATTGATAAATAATAATTATCTTTGTTATCATTTACTGTTATGTACATAATTAGTTACATTCAGATAAATGCAATTTTCCACAACTTCCTCTAGTCATTATTACTAGGCGGTAGTCTGCCATATATTACATGGCCCGTACCAGTGTTGTGGAGAGTGACGCCGCATAGTTTTGGATTTATGTCTTTTATCCTGAATTATTACATCCAACACCGGCAAGGCTACCTCAGCTAGGCCATCATTATTGCCATTAGCTGCAACCTTTACATTAGTCACTGTAGTGTCAGGGTTATTAACATTATCATTATTGCCACCATTATTATTAGAATTACATACACCCTTGCACATAACTGTATGGTGCCTTCCCTTGTTGCATTAATAGCAACTGTTCAATTTGATATGACAATACATTATGATTGCCTAGACATCTGATACATCTGTCAAGTTCTTCCATTTTTTCCACTTTAATATCCCATGACTTATAGACATTACAGTTCTTAGTGAAATGAGTACCCTGGCAGAAGAGAAAGTCTCTCTTTTCCTTGCTTGACCTCTTATTAACTGGGTTACCCTTACTGAGGTACTTATTCCTCTTACCTTGATGTGACGAACCACTATTACTGATTCCTGTCACTTGATATATGCCTATTTAACTCTTAATTACGATTACCACTGGGATTATTTTTCCCTTTTGAGACTTGACAGATACTTCAGAGTCATTATGTGTTATATCCTTAGAACTGTTTGACTGACTGGTCTGCAATTGAACAATTAATTCCTGCCGACCTAGTCTGATTTCCTCCAGACCGTACTCTGGAGGTTTTGGCAAACACACCCTTTGCATTAATAGGTTGATCAGCTGCCTGGCTTACACCCTTTAATTTATTCAAAGCCTTACTTTTACAAGACAGTTTTTCTTCTAATTCGTAATGTTGATTAATTAAAACATTCATTTCCTTTCCATCTGCACAATTCTCCAGCAGATCTCTTTCACAGTCTTTAAACCACAATTTGTACCACTCAAATCTACTCTCTAAAGCATCTAAATATAACTTTAATTCATTAGGGTTCACGGTTCTTTGATTCATTAAATCCAAGCACTTATTGTATGCTTCGTCACATGGCCTTTAATAGCCTGTAATGATGCTTTCATTACTCTAAAATTCACGGACTTGTCAGCCACATTAACTCCATTAGATCCAGTCATGGTTAGAGAATTATTAATCACTGATTATACAACTTAAGTAGGCGCCTTATAAGAGTAATTCTTGCACTTTACTCTTGTATAAATCCTAGCCACACATGTGCTAGCAATTAATTGGGCTAATTATCATCCACCACACGATCGATTAAATTTGTGTACTCTATACCCACTTCCTTCAATTAATCACTTAATTATTAAGTAATTAATTCAATTAATTTTTCACTGATTGCATCCGGTTCAGGAAGGACCAACGGGCAGATATGGAAAATTTTATAGGGGTTACCTACATGTACCTCAACATTACATGCATACGAGTAATCTCACTGGGAGACAACAACCATATTGTTTACCGTAGTCACCCCGTGTAGACATGTGAGAAAACTTAACCACCCCTGGTCACTGCAGGTGGTCCCTTCGACCTCACAATCTTATACATATCTATCCTAGACCAGTATAAATTGGATAGCACCCATAAGTATGGCGCTACTAATTAATTGTGGACTCTATAGATTATATTAGTTTAACTGAATGAAGGGGGGGGGGTAGGTTACACATGGATATATCCATCAAGGAAAAACACTTGTATATAATCCCACTACTTACTAGATATTTCTCTGGTGATCACTTGATGTTGCGGGATCACCCACAACCTATCCAATTACAACATACCTAACTGGCCAGTATCAGCCTGCTATAACTAGAAGGGTTACTTAACTCTGGGTGATTGATGCTCCTTATTTCCTCCAGTCACCATCTCATTTCTATGTCCTGCTACACTGACACGGTTCTTATTCCAGCAGGAAGAGGTATCCGTTGGTTTGTCCCGGTTTAGAAGTCGTGACTCCATAAAAACTTCACTATCCTCGGGACAGGAACCACGAGGTCTACACGTGTTCACTCGGAGCAAGGCGACTTATTTCACTTCACGCATTCTCTTAACTTAGTGTTATTATCACTGATTACATTACAATTCACAAGACAATTTAATGTCTCATAATTATTATACACATTAGAAGTCACTCCATTAAGATCTGAGACCGATGAGTGATGATTAAATCACGGGTATTTTCCCCTGGACACACTCCATGGCAGCGCACCAGTCACCACCGGTCCTACCATTATTCACTAATTTTACCACTTATTACAGCGGTCCCGTAAATCACTGTAGTGATACTGGTCCTGTGGGGAGCAGCAGGATAATACTGCACCACCTCTTGGGGCCCTTAACAACAACAACAGTTTGGTGTGTGTCATGGGCACCAACACATGATGTGTGATTCTCTCCTCCTCTGTCTATATATATATTAGTGATGCAGATTACATGGTGAGTTTGAATATGTGGCCTGTAGTTATAACTTTTCTCTTGACATATGCAAGACATCACCATCCCTGTACAAGCCATTATTAGATGTACTAGTCATTATATTTTGTTGTTGCAGAAGTACTATGAAGATTCTATGTTCAATAAAGCCTAGAGATAAGGCCTGTGTTTCTATCACAACAATTTATTGAACATAGAATCCTGGGCTACCTGGTGGTGATCCTGCACTAGACTACATCACAACATGGAGTGTTTACTGAAACCTGAGAGGCTAGACTGTGACCCCAGCTTATCAACGGCTGCTCAGGAATGGAAGCACTGGTTTAAAGCCCTTCCTAAAGAAGATCTAGATAGACTAAGTCTGCTCATCAATTTTGTGTCACCTAAGATATATGAGGCTATTTCTGAGTGTAATACCTACGAAGATGCTATCAAAACCCTCAAGTCTCAGTATATTAAACCTACAAATGAAATCTTTGCACGATATCGCCTTGCAACTCACCGCCAGCAGACTGATGAATCCTTAAAGGAATACTTTCAAGCACTGAAAATTTTAGGTAAGGACTGTCACTTCCATGCAGTGACAGCTGCTCAGTATTGTGAAGAGTCCATCAGGGATGTTTTTATCAGTGGCCTGCAATCACCAGTAATAAGGCAGCGTTTATTGGAGAATAAAACTCTCGACTTAGCCGCTGCCTTTGACCAGGCAAGAGCTCTAGATTCAGCCAGAAAAATTTCTGAAGTATACAGTACCACTCAGCCTTCTCGAGTGTAAGTGCTGCAATTCCTGACCAAGACTCTTGCAATGAAGTTACTGTGGAACCTGCCTCAGTGACAGCAGCAGCAGGTACGGTGTGTTTCTCTTGTGGTTTTTCAAGACATCCACGTCCAAAGTGTCCTGCTCGTGAAGCAATGTGCCATAAATGCCACAAAAAAGGGTCACTTTGCTAAAGTATGTCGTGCTAATGCATCAACAAGAGCTAGTGCCTCCACACATT